GAAAACTCACGATTCTCTATTAATAAAAGTATTATCATATGAAAACTTAAAAACACGTTGAGAAACTCCATTTCTCAGTGAAGGCTTGCTATTTGCTACCTCATGGTAAGTCAATTTCAGTTACACTTTTCATTTCAAAGAGAATATTTATAAATAAAACTGATCAAAATTCAAAAGCTGACTAAGTGAAAGTTGCTGAACTATTCAGCCACTGCAGTGTAACATATATAACATAACCCTTCACTGATTAGGGTCATGGAGGTGTATTGATGGAAGCACTAGCACATAAAACCGTCCATCTTTCTTTGTCTTCTGCTTGATAAATAAGTGTATGATAACTTAGTCCTGTCCATTTCTTGATGTTGTCAACAAATTATGTCTCACCACGTGCCCAAACTAAGATAGCTTGCGATGTTTCACCACTGCCAAGAAAGGCTGCAGTTTACAAACAATTATATGACTATGAAGAAGGATCAACATAAACTGTAAATAATCAGCTAACTTAATTTGCTCCTCTAAGCCCGCAGAGAAAAATTACCTAAAATATATTTGTAAAACAAGAGGAAATAGCTTTAAAATATCTGTTAATCATAAATGAAATTTTAAAACTATTTGTGTAGGTACAGTTTTCATTTACAAAAATAAATCAATGCAAATTTTGGCAGAGTCAGGTTGATACAAACACCAGTATTATAAAAAGAATTGTGGGCTTATTTTGTGTGTGTCTTGTAATGAAAGACAAAATAAACTTACGGGCAGTAGGGTATACTAGGTAGTTCTTCCTCTTCTGCATTCGCTCTTAAAAGAACGATTTTCACAAGTGTGCCGTGGTTTACAGAAAGGCTGCAATATTTGCTTGCTTCGACCCAACACATTGGTCACTTTTAGGACATGCTTGTTAAGAAGTAGGTTTTTCTTATTTCTGAAAACAGAGCCCTGTAACCCACATGAAGACCCAGAGTAACAATTGGTGTAACCATAATGGGTGCACAAATTATAAGTTCTTGGGAGGTTTAACAAGGTATCTGGGATTTGTACTGTTTGGACTGACATCAAGTATGTGATTCTTTGAGTCACAGTGCGGCCAAACCTTCAGGAAGCAGCCCAGTCAAAAACATGAATGAATGTAAAAAAAATCACAAACCACAATGTTTTAAATGCATGGAAATCCAAAAGTCAGTCAAATCAAGTGCCACCAGCACAATGAAAGTTGGCAGAAACAGATCTCCAACATCCCTAAATGTGTTCTGGGGTCCCATTGTAAGGAAGAAACAGAAAAAAGGACAGATTCATGCTCCCTAACATCCTTGTCGTAAGAGTTGACTAATTAGGGGTTTCCTTCAAAGTCAGAGTGCATCCACCTAAGAAGCAAGGAAGCAACAGTCTGCATACAAATAAGGAAGATCTGCATGTAAGACTCAAGTTCTGCAACAAGACCAAAGTCCAAAAGAGGACAAACAACCAGTACTTTCTGCCAGAGTTTACAGTTGGTCAGCATGAAGAAGATCAACATTTTCTGTCTCTAGCTTTTGGTGATACTCAGACACATTCTTGCTCATCCATCTATCGATGTCATTAAAAAATGTGTAAACGTTATAGCATCAACTTCACTGTGTTGGGTTTTATTCCATGTGGCTCAGTCTCTCTCTGCAGACTGACTGCCTGCACGACAGTGTCACACAAAGCACAAACCCTACAGCTCCAGCAATGAACCACACAGATATCCAGAACACTTGCACACATGCCTAAAGGATGGATTCCTATATTGAACCCACCTCCTTCAGAGCAAGAGGCGTCAGTTAAACCACTCTGCCACTGCGACCCACTCAGACAACATCAATGCTCCCCAGCCTATGTTTTCCCTACAAATACATAAATGCATCTGGTAATCTCAGTTTCAGCTTCATAGCAAACGGGTTGCCCCATAGTTGCTCCGCTTCTGTGCCAACGAAAAACACAAAATGTTTATCACAGTTCAAATGAAATCTGCAGCTCACAGTGTCACGCCATGTACTCAACTCAGAAGCTGGGCAACATAAATGCATGATGTCTCTTTCATGTGACCATACTATACAAATGACATATTGAAAGTCGTTATCATGTAGCAGGTCCTTTGCAGGACATTGCACTCATCACAGTCTGCCTGAAAGAAACTCAGTCTTGTGCCATCTCTCACACCTCGTGCACTTTCCCACCTAAGGTGTCACTAATATCCTGTGCCCATTTTCTTGATAGCTGGCGCCTGCCCCACTTTCTGGTATCTCGAATTCTGTTATTATTCTTTTAAATCTGCTGTGGCACTTGATATAGCCAAAAAAGTTTAGTTTCCGAGACAAAATGCTGTTCACTAGTTGCTCTTCCTGATGTTCAGACTTTTTAGGCAGTCAGTATCTCTTTCCTTCCTGTTCCATGGTATTCAGAGAATCTTTCTATAGCATTTCAGCTTCAAAGCCCTATTTCCTTCATTTAAAGACTGAGATAGTTTATCACTCACATCTGTATGTCGCTACTATACCAAAAGCATATTTCCAGAGTAATAAAAATACATAAAATAAACTATGTAATAAAATTATGCTTTAAAACAAATCATATTTATAAATATGTAAATAAGTGGGAAAATTGCATTACAACTTACAGTAGGATAAATACTAGTCAGATTACGTTTCATCAGTTCCCAAATGTAATAATATGTACAGCAGTAACATCTTTACGAACTGAAACACATTTTATGTTATCACAGTCAGTATAAACATATTTAATTGATTATCTTCTTCTTCTGTATTCATCCGAAGATGTAAATGCACTGTGCCTGTTTACAACATGACTGCAATGTTTGCACCTTCTGGTCGAAACATCAAACTTCTGCAGGCATTGTTGCCCAGGTGAGCATTCCCGGTTTAACTGACTCAATCTCACATGACATCAATTACAGCTTCCAGGTCACTTTCTGACGTCCACAACCTGCAGAATGCTGCTTTACATCTTCTTCTTCTGCAAGTCCACAACCAACTCATGCCAATTATTTTATTGGCTATCCTCCGAATAACGGTCCCAAATTATTGAGGCCGAAAATATACCCTAACAGGGTCTCAGTCACATGTAAATTGCAGACTTCCGGCGACTACCGCCACCGCCGAGAGCATCTCTCGTGCCGCTTAGCTAAACTAGATGGCTGGGACTCATGAGCAGCAGCTACCGCATCTCCTGCAGCTTCCTTCATTTTATATGCTCATGAGTCCCAGCCATCTAGTTTAGCCCCACTACGCAAGCGCGGGAGGTATTCTCGGCGGGGGCAGTAGTTACAGGAAGTCCGCAATGTACATGTGACTGAGGCCCTGTTATTGTATATTTTCGGCCTTGATAATTTGGGACCGTTATTCTGAGGATAGCCATCTTATTTTATCAGGTATAGCTTATCCCACATCCTCCCCATCTGTTTTATTGAATTCTCTAATTACCTTTGCCATGTCAGCCTATCAGACATGGTTTCAGTTTCACCACAGTCACCCCATATTGGCTCCATTGCTAGGCCAGCAAAAACCATCAAAATGCTAATAATCACTGCTCCATGTGAAAAGTCAGACAGCAGTCCAGGCAAAAGCCAACAGCTCGCACTATCAAATTCATTAGGCAGCTGCCAAAGGTACCAACACCTACAGTTTGTCACTAGAATCGCTACTCATAGTCGACAGAAGTAGCTTCACGACACACCAGCAGGTGCATACGCATTACTGTTTAAGGTTAGTTGCGTATCCTTTACAGGAGGTTGCAGAACCAACCCCAACAGCCCCTGGCTGTTGTGTGGTTTTTCTAGGCAAATTTACGTCCAGTAGTTTGTCACTGCTTTCTGGAGGGTCGGCTTTCTTGATACCACTGTCGAAACCAATGCCCGGCATCCCAGCATTACGAAGCATTCGCATCTACTTAGCCACAGAGCTGACTTACTGTATAAGGCACACTGCAAATTCTGTGGCAACCAGCCATGTTCTGAACATGCAATTGACAACAAACTCTCCAAGAGCACAGACAATAAGCACTCCCTCAACTCAGCAACAAGACAATTGAATTTTGCCTTTACCTCTTCTGTTGTCGTCTTATCCGGTTTCTTCTTGGGGTTGAAACCCAAATCCTTTACTGGGTTATTTGGGAGAACAAAGTCCACCACATGATAATGGGGTAGGCTTGAGCTTTCAATATGTCAGCTTTAAGACTTTCCATCTGTTGGTGTTTGTGCTTTATATGTTAGCATATTAAAATCTTGTATTTCTTTTCAATTCTTTCACAAATTGAAAAAGACCCTTTTCACAGCACATTTAGCATATGGTGCTAATAATAATGCTCATAATTAAACAGATCTGGCACTCAATGGCTGATGTGATTAACATCAATACTGCCTTGTTTATTTCCCAACTATTTCCTGATGCCCATATTAAGCTGGGTTGACCAAGAAAAACTAGGTCATTATAAAAATCCACTTCGATTTGGTGTATATGGAATATAATAATAATCTGGGCCTTAACTCTTTGAGTCCCAGGGGGTTTAGCATCAGAGGCCCAAGGGGTAGTCACAAGAGACATGAAAGCGGCACATCTTGCATCTAGTTAGGAACATATGAATGTACGATACGTTCCTTGGGACTCAAAGAGTTAATGAGGACAAAACATGTCTTGCAATGTGTGACACGCAAATTCTATCTTTTTGCCATCCATTCCTCAAATGCAAATTTATAAAGGTCAGTCATGCTTCCTTTAGTTAAATTTTCTAAGTTTCAGAAATGGAGACAAAAATCAATAGGAACAGGATCAGTTAAAATTCAGTTCATGTATCTGTAAACAAGAAAATATAAAAATCACAGATAAACAGGTCCCACAAAATCAGAAGCACCAACAATGATATTCCACCTCATTTCCAACTGTACAGTTAATATGAAAAATAATCTGTGGCATAATGAACCCTTTATTAACAGTCCCAGGTGTCTGAAACAATTTTCTAACGCACTTTCACACTAGGTCTGGTGACTTTACGAAAAAGTGCCTTTCAATATCTTCAAGAGATTTTCCTTTAGTTTCTGGTATGTATTTATACACAAACCAAACAGAGACCGTGCAGCATGCACTGAAAAGATAAAACACGCCAGAACTACCAAGTGCATTCTGAAGAGTGCTGAACTGACTTGTGACCAGAAATGCCGATCCCCAAGAGGCAACAGATGCTGCAGAACCAGCTATTCCTTTGCACTGAGTTGGGATAAGTTCAGACATCAGAAGCATTGGAATTGGTCCCCACCCTAAGGAAAAGCCCAGGATGTAAATAGTAAGACACGCCACAGGAACCCAAGTGTTAAGGAAACTGCCAAAATACCCACCAGCGGACAATTTGTAATATAGACCAAAACTCAACAAAGTGATAGACAAAATCACACCACCAATATTTAGAAGTTTGCGCCTGCCTGCCCTATCCATTAGAAAAACAGCTAAAAGGGTGCCCAACACTTGAACTATGCCAACAATAATAGTTGCTACATATGCAAATTCTCCAACAGCTTTTTCCAAAATTGACACTGTAAAAAACATGACTACATTGATGCCTGAGAGCTGTTGAAAGATCAGGACTGCCATAATTAGTAATAATGGATGAAAAAGTTCTTTTCTCTTCAGTATCTCGCTTATAGATGTCAGTTCTGCTGTGTCTGATTTCTCCTCGATTTCTCTACACTCTTCATTCACGTCTGTGTGTGGATCTCTCAGAGTCTTTAGAGCAAATAGAGCTTCTGTTTTTCGATTTTTCTTTAGCAGCCACCTGGGTGTTTCTGGAATGAAGAAAGTTAAGGCCCCTCCCACAACACCGGGTATAATGCACAGATTGGCCAGCCATCTCCACTCAAACTGTGCGCCCAGAATGTAAGTTGCAGCTATCCCTATGGTGACAAAGAGCTGAACGCAGGAACCAAGGATACCTCTCATTGACGACGTTGCAACTTCTGCAATGTACACAGGAACACACACAGTCACCATTCCACTTCCTATTCCAGTCAGAAAACGTCCAAAGAAACAGTGAAAACTTGTAGTTGCCGATGCTATAATAAAGAAACCAGCAGCAAAAGGTATTGATAAAAATGTCAGGGACAGTTTTCTGCCAACTTTTTCAATAAGCCAGCCACCGATGGGTCCGCCTATTAGTGCACCAAGTGTGAGCAAGGATGCAAACCAGTCACTTTCTCCTTCTTTCAGAATGCCTCTTTTGATCATGCTTGGAATAGATGGTGAACTATAACCGATCGCTATTCCAAAATTTAATGCGCCTATTAAAGCGCACAGAGAAATGAGTATCAACTTCTTCTGAGAACCCTCATATTTGGAGTGGATGACGCGTCTCATCCCTTCTGTACCAACAAGCAATTGTGCGTCCGCCATGTTTGTGTCGTTGGCGTCAGGGCTGCCAATGGGATTTTTATGAAAAACCCAGCTTAGCTGAACAAAAACCTAAGCAATACTAAGACAAAGAACAAAAAAACAAAATAAAAAACCCAGATTGTTAAAATTTACACAATTTATATTTACGAAACGAAACATTTACCACTTTTATATAAGGATATATTAAAAAAAAAAAACAAATCCCCCCCCCCGCGTGAAATAAAAACCCAGATCTGGGGGAAAAACCCAGCATTGGAAGCCCTGGTTGGCGTTTGTTTAGTTTGTTTTAGATTAGACAAGGGTTGCCAGATTAAAAAAAACTTCATTTTATGCCAAACCATTACCCAAAATATAACAGAAATGCCAAATACAGTTAGTAAGTTAGTTAGTTGGGTTATCATCATTGCACTCCGGACATGTCCATAGGTGCTCAGATCCTCCCCTCAGTATGAACCCCAACGTCCGATGGCTAATAGTACCAGTTCTATGTTGATTAACAAGTCTTCTGGGGTGCCTGGTGTGCGTCTCGTTTTTTGCTATGCCGATCTTAATTCCTAAGTCTGCTATTCTAGCGAGTGATGTGGATTCACTGCCACTAAAGTCCTCTATCCTTCCCATTTCTCTCAGGGCATTGATAATATATCAGCATGATCCATAGGCTGACCGTCGGTAGTGATAGCGGATCCAGATAACCTGTCAGCTCTTTCATTTCCATCGACGCCTGCGTGTCCCGGAACAAAAATAAAGGTGACGCCACGCACAGTGGACTTCTGTAATGATTCAAGCCATTGTCTTCGCACTGAACCTGCCTGAACCCTCCGGATCATACTCATTGAATCACTGAGTATACAAATGCGGGTGTATTTTTGTGTTTCAAGCCAGGCAAACGCTTGCGTCACTGCCATCACCTCCATCGTCATGCTGCTGGTTGTCATGGAGAAGGCGCTGTTGGCTTCTTTGACTGTTCTGCCAAATACAGTATAGCATTGTACTCGCTTCACATCAAAAGCTATAGATTGAGTTCTTCACAGTCATCCTCACAGGAACCAGTGGAAGATACAGCGTAAATCTTTTCGGATGTATAATCTTTAAGCATTTTCTCAGATGGGATGACGTCTTTGCAACTTATAAACAATGATGGCATATTTCTTGTTCGAAAATCAAAGTGCAGCGATATAATATTTTTTATGAGGCATAAACATTTAGTTACATGCCACTCTATGTGCTCCAATGTACTTCCCCGACCATGCGCTCTCATGATTTCACTTAGATGATGCATTGTGCGTGTTTCACAATGGCAGTTCAGGCCTACAGCAAATTGCAACTCTGCTGCTTTTAACTTTATCATTACTTTGCCTAGGAGTCATTGTTGGTTTAGTAAATCTGCGTGTTTCTAACGGAGAAAACATAAAGAAAAAGCGAGCACATCTTGATAAGAAAAGCCAAGAAAACCCCGAATGTGCCAAAATATGCCAGTTCGTTATCTTATGCCAGTTCATGATGATTATTTCAAGGCAAACACTTTGCGTATTCAATCGGTTTTCATCGCTTAAATTAAACCTCTTACCAGTTCAAACACATGACGGCAATGTTTTCCACGGCTGGATACTCGGGGATATCAGGTTTCTTTACTTGTTGCCTCGTTGGTTACACTGGCTGTGGTAGAAACAACAGGCGAGCTGGAGTTTGTAGCTATCCTTGCGGCGTTATCAGTGATTCCTGGGGTGGAGCCTTTTAATAAATCAGCTAGTGTATTTAACTTCAGGGAGAGTCTTGTCAGCAAGGGCTTCACAGTGCAGCAGATGTTTAAGACTGCAGAAAGCTTCGTAACGTCCATGTGATTTAGCAGAATGTTGCCTTCTTTCTGGGAGAAGTCCGTTCTTGAGAGGCCTTACAGACGGGTAATGGACTGTCAGCCATCTGCCTGGGGCTTCTATGACGGCAAGAACTACAGGATCAAGATGAGTAGTGAAGTCAAAGAGAGAGACTTTGGGACCGCCCATCATGAGATGGCTTATGTAGCCTGCTTCATGGCATACAAAAACTGGCCACTCGTCGACAGGGATAGTGCTGACACATGAAGCTATTGGAGATCGCAATGGGTTGTCAGTGTTGACCCCAGAACACCTAAAGAAACTAGAATTGATCTCCGAGGTTCCAACAGACAGGGGGTCGAATCTCAACATTCTGATGTACAAAACTTTGCACACGGTCGTCTATATTCCAATTGCAAACTTCGTTGACGCATGGCGGTGGTCAGTCTTTAATGGCAGCACCACTGACGATACATGCATGAAAGACTGGTACCGCCTTCGATGTGAGTTGACTGGGATATCTGCACTTTCCATGTGGACAGAAAACGAGTTTTATCCTGGCATACTTCATCAAATACCAGCTAACGTGACACTTATGAGATATTTATTCTTTTTTTCCCCCCTCCAATTTCAATTTTAAAAAGTTGCGTGTGCTCAGGCAAAGCATAAGGGCCCTATACATCGATGTGATATATACAAAAGAACCGCAGCTGGTAGAAAACTCAATTTTACTATGTAATCACAAGATAACATTTGCCAATGGGATGTAGCTGTGTCTCGGCTTGATGGTCCTAACGGTCATCGCTCTGGCAGCTGTTTACGGCCTATGTGTTGACATCAGTGGGGAATATGTCAACAGTGTTGGGACGCCTACATTTTACAACGCTGTGGAATCTGTGGAAGCTGGGTCGTCGTTGCCTGTGTCTCGGGTAGCGGAGACTTCATCAACAGTATCTTGTCATGATCGCCGTTTGTTGTACCTTCTGTACATACACTACGAGATCGGAGGCGACTCTACTACATCAAAGATGCCAGCATTGCTGTCCCATTCTGTGAAATCGTAATCCTGACTAACATGACTGCCTTCATCCTGATGCTGGCTTTTGAATATCACTGGATCGGCCTGGAGAAGATCTTCCTTAATAAGAAACTGAAGACACGGAACAGTTAGACAGGAAAATGCAATATTGCTTTTAACTCCTTGTGTCTTCTTGTGCTGTCTTTTGTCCATGTTAGAACATACACCCCCAGTCTACTTTTGCGGGGTTGTTTAGTTAACTGTCGTCACCTGCAGATCCGTCCACTCTGCCCCAATATTATTATTAATCTCTTTAATTATTTCCTTCTTCAATTCACTGATAGCTCACTTCACTTCGGGGCGCTATAACTATATTATTAGTAATCTCTTTCAATATTTCCTTCTTCACTTCACTGATAACTCACTTCACTTCGGGGCGGTATAACCCTTTTCTCCGGGTAGATGGAACTCGTTAGCTTTGGACAGCAGTCAATATAGGAGACGGCAAACTCCGAATTTAAACCCTCAAGTTCAAGGTGGGCCAACGTGCTGAGGAGCTGGATGGCCACGGGTGAGCTGGTCGTGAACGTTGGACGTTTGGCGGGCGTGCGGGGCGGCACCAGGCGTATGGACTCCTACGGGACATCCATTGCCCCTTCCCTAGCAGGCAGGCAATACTAGGGTGACTGGTCATTTTCTGCAGTACTCTATTTTTCATATGGATTTTAAAAATATTCATAAGAATCGTCGCCGGAGCTACAGGGCACGAGCTCTGCGCTTGACACATTATTCAGCAGTTAGTGAAGAGGGAGTGAGGAGGAGACGACGAGGGAATGCGGAGAGAAGAAGGCTTAGAAATAGGAGGGCGGGTGCTAGGAGAACAAAACGAAAAGCGGAGAGATTGAGCTTTAATCGTGTAAGAGTAATTTACTGGAACTGTCGGAGTGCTAGGCAGAGAGGTCCTGTAATGGAGAGGTTGATTTTTTATTTTGATGTCATCATGCTCCAGGAGCTAAATACAGACAGATATCATTGCCCGGGGTACGTCAGTTATACAAACTATGTTGGACCTGGGAGACATGGACAAGGTATGGTGGTAAAGGAGGGAATGAAGCATGTGGTGCTTGACTTGAGCCAGTGGAACCACAGTGGACGAGAGGTTCAAGGGGTACAGGTAGAGATTGGTGGCTTAAGTTGGAACCTCATAAATATATATGTCACGGTAGACTGTTTTGTCAGAAGTGAACAATGGAGCTGGCTTAAGGAATTGGAGGAGTTACCATGTGATAGGTTACTCATATGTGGGGATTTCAACGCGAGGGACGGAGAATGGGACAGCAGTGGAGAAAACCGACAGGGAATTGCTCTTGCAGAGGCCATGGTTGACTCCGATATGGTCTGCATAAATGATGGGAGGCCGACTAGAATGGCAATGAGGTCTGAAGATGCAGACACAGCTATTGACTTGGCATTTGCCTCACAGCCGTCGGTTTTAGATGTTAAATGGACTATCCTGAATGACCATGTGAGTGATCAACTACCATGTTCAGTCTTGATTTCTAAACTCAGTAAGGGTAAGGCTAGGAGAGCACGCAAGACCCTCCAGTATAAGTGGACCAACAACCTACGCCTCAGACGGGGAGCATGCAACAGAACTGCCAGAACTAATTTTCTACAGCTCCCATGGTGAACTCCATAAGTAGAACAGGCGTGGAAGGCAAAGAGAGTATCAGTGAAGCAGCTAAAGAAAATACGACAGACACCCTCAAGCTCACGAGAGGAAGTGGAGATGGCGGAGAATGTGAAAAAAGATAAGGTGGAGGTTTTCAAGCGCTGTGCTGCAGAGGCCAAAAGAGCAAAGTGGGAAACTTTTGTGAATGATATGGGAGGCGATAAAACATTTGGGAAACTGCAAAGGCAGATGCAAAGAAAAGATCGGCCTATGACAGTCGGAACAAATTGTAGAGACGACTTTTTGCGTGTGACAACAGACAAGGAGAAAG